TCTGTCTCTCTCCTCTCTCCCTCCCTCACTCCCTCTCTGTCCCTCTCTCTCTCTGTCTCTATCCATCTCTCTCCCTCCTTTGTCTCTCTCTGTCTCTCTCTCCTCTATCTCTCTCCTCTGTCTGTCTGTCTGTCTGTCTCTCTCTCTTTCCCTGTCTCTCCCCAGCACCCCACCAGTCTTCCAGGCCTGGCAGAGCAATTCCTGAGCAGAGCCAGGAGTGAGCCCAGCACTGCTGGGTGTGGCCCCAAACACAACAAACAAAACAAAAGCTGATTTGGAGGGAGGCTTTCTGCCCGTGACTCACCGCCCTCCCGCCCCAGGTGGACCGTGTTCCTCTCCGACAGCCAGAGAAGGGAGCAGGTTCCAACAGGGCCGGCTGGGGCCCCGCCAGGTTGCGGCTAAGAGTGGGCAGAGGGGCAGGCTGGGGTGGGGCGTCCTGGGGGTCTCTGGGCGCCTGAGCTGGCGGGGTGGGCCCGTCCCCGGTGGGCCGGGGCTCTGGGCTGCCCCATGGTTTCTGGGTGTGGCTGAGGCAGAGATGACGGAGGAAGCAGTGTGGATTCGCAGGGGGGTCCTGTGGCCGGCAGCCCCTCAGACCGTCCTAGGAGCATCCATTCCCTGCCTCCGAGAAGGCTGGAAAGCCGCTTCCTGACCCAGGACCCCCTAAAGCGGGGACCCCCATGAAAGGACCTCAGGACACAGCTGCTTCTTTTTCTTCTTTTTTTTTTTTAATTGAATCACCATGGGATACAGTTACAAGCTTTCATGTTTGAGTTGTTACAGTCACACAATGATCAAACACCCCCCATCCCTCCACAGTGCACATTCTCCACCACCAATGTCCCCAGTATTCCCCGCTTTATCCCACTCTCCCCCTGCCTCTATGGCAAACAGTTTCCCCCATACTCTCTCTCTCTCTACTTTGGGCATTGTCACTGACACTGTCCTCCCGTTGTTCGTCGAATTGCTTGAGTGGGCCCAGTAATGTCTCCATTGGAGACTTTGTTGTTACTGTGTCTGGCATATCGAATACTTCACGGGGAGCTTGCCAGGCGCTGCCGTGCGGGCGAGATCCTCTCGGTAGCTTGCCGGGCTCTCCGAGAGGGGCGGAGGAATCGAACTCGGGTCGACCGTGTTGGCCGCTTGCAAGGCAAACGCCCTACTGCTGTGCTATCGCTCCAGCCCACTTTGGGCATGATGGTTTGCAATACAGATACAGAGAGGCCATCGTGTTTGGTCCTGTATCTACTTTCAGCACACATCTCCCGTCCCGAGCATCCCTCCAACCATCACTGACTTGGTGATCCCTTCTCTATCCCAGCTGCCTTCTCCCCCGACCCCGCTCATGAGGCGGCTTCCAGCCAAGGAACAATCTTCCTGGCCCTTGCCTCTACTGTCCTCGGGAGGACATGGCTTCTGTGTGAAGGGGAACGGCGGGGTGGCAGGAACTGGGGCGCTCAGAAGAAGGTGCTCGCCTCGGCCCTGGGGCCCCCTCACCCCAGCAGGGGAGGGGACAGCGGCCCCTGCAGGGTGGGAAGTGCCCGTCCCATGGGGCCACCGGAGGCTGTGTCGGGGACTGCCCCCCACACTCGCTCCTCGCTTTCCCAGGGCTCTGAGGTCTCCCCGTCCTGACTCAAGGTGGGGGACACTCCTGCTTCCGGGGGGTTGGGTGGACCCTCGGGGGTTCCGCCAGGCCGTCCGCTCGCTGCCTGCCTCCTCTTCTACCTTTTGTTTGTCCCTCCTTGGGGCGGAGGGAGAAACCCTGGTCTCCTGCATGGGAAGCCCACGGGAAGCCCCCACCTGCTCAGCAAAGCCGGGTGGGTGAGAGCCTGGGTGCGGGCGGGCCCGGATGTAGATGGGAGATGGCCTCATTGTCCCCAGATGCGTCCTGGCTGGCCACCACTGGCCTCCCCGCCTGCCTCTTCTTCCTGGGATGGAGTGGACCACCAGGCTCCTGCCTGCCCACCTCCCCCTGCCCGCTCCCCCCACTGCCTCACCCCTGCCTGCTCCCCCCACTGCCTCACCCCTGCCTGCTCCCCCCACTGTTTCACCCCTGCCTGTCCCCCCACTGCCTCAACCCTGCCCATACCTCTCACCGCCTCACCCCTGCTCGCTCCCCCCACCTCACCCCTGCCCATATCCCCCACCACCTTACCCCTGCCTCCTCCCTTCACTGCCTCACCCCTGCCAATACCCTCCACCGCCTTACCCCTGCCTGCACCCCCCACTGCCTCACCCCTGCCCATACCCCTCACTGCCTCACCCCTGCCCGCTCCCCCCACCTCACCCCTGCCCATACCCCCCACCGCCTTACCCCTGCCTGCTCCCTCCACCCGCCTCACCCCTGCCTGTACCCCCTGCCCGTCTCCCGCCTGCTCACTCCCCTCACCCTCTGCCCGCTCTCCCACCTGCCATCTCTCTGCCCTCTCCCCTTTGCCCACTCCCCCCACTCCCCCTCCCTCCTTCTCTCCCCTCCTCCCCCGCCCGTCTGCCTCACCCTGGCCCGAGGAACTGTTAAGTGTAGGCAGCTGCCTGATCAGCCAGGAGGCGAGGTGGGGAAATGTGTTTACCTTGGGTCCACCTGTCAGGCAAAACCCAAAACAGAATCTCTTTTCAACACGGCCCTTGCATCATGTGTTGTTTTTGGGGCCACGCCCGGCAGTGCCCAGAGCTTCCTCCCGGCTCTGCACGCAGGGATCGCGCCTGTCTCTGTTCTGGGGATCAAACGCAGTGTCCGGGGTTGAATCTGCCTCAACCCTGTGGCGGGGATGCACCTTGAGCCCTGTGCTAGCCTCTCGGACCCTGGCTTTGTCATTGGAAAAGCGTCTCTGGGGGAGAGAGATACGTCACGCTCCCTGACCCCCGTGGGTGTGTCCGAGGGGCGTCGGGTCCAGCTGGCCCGACCCCCGAGGCACTGGCTAAGCTTGTCATCTGCCCTGGGGGTAGGGGGGAATGTCCGTCCAGTGGCTGTTCTCATGGTGGGTGTTTGGGGTCTGTTCGTCCCGGTAGCTGCCAGTGGTCTGCGGCCATGAGCCGATGGCGCATCCAGAGAACCCAGTTTCCCATTTTCCTGTGGTCATGTCTGCAGGGTCCGGGACAAGGTGGCTCTAGACCGTGCAGGTTCGGGCCTGGGGGCCGTGGCCGGGTGGTCTGGGCCCCTGTGGAGCCCATGAGAGGAGGCTATGCCCTATGGAGGGGGGTCAGAGCGCCCCAGGAGGGCAGAGCCAGGGATGGAGACGCAAAGACGGGGGCTTGGGGTACTTCTGGTCGGGCCAGGCTGTGGCAGAGGTCACCCCTGGCGCCTGCTTGCAGAGAATATGGGTTCCTGGTGAATAAATTTATCGGTGCAGCCCCTGCCCTAGTCCGTGCCCCTCCACGCGTGTTCTGAGTAGCTGCTTCTCCCCAGCACTGGGTACCTTCCAGAACCCACACACGTGCACGTGTGTGTGTGTGCATGCATGTGCATGTGTGTGCATGTGTGAGCATGTATGTGTGCGTGTGTGTGTGCGCGCGCGCGCCTGTACATGTGCGTGCGTGTGGCCCCCGGGGGAAGTCGTGCCGTGATGGGTCGTTGGCACCTGCCCGTTTCCGCGTCAGACTCCCACACTCCCTTCGCCAGTGGCCGTTTCTCTGCCTGGGCTGTTCAGGTTTCTTCCCTGGGGTTTGGCCTCACCCGCCCGCACATACATACCTGCCTGATGTGACGAGTGTTGTTTCAGGTGCGGGGGCTCTGGTGACCAATAAATACGCCCACCCCATCTTGTAGAGCCGAGGGAGAGGTGTGGGGCAGGGGTGTGTGTGTGTGGGGGATGATGGTGGGGGGTTGGAGGCGGGTCCATTTTAAATCTGGAACGTGCAGGCTTTTGGTGGGCTCACTTATTCCTTTTACGGAATGGTTCTTCTTCTTCTTCTTCTTCTTCTTCTTCTTCTTCTTCTTCTTCTTCTTCTTCTTCTTCTTCTTCTTCTTATTCACTGTCACTGTCACTGTCCTCCCATTATTCATCGATTTTCTTGAGCGGGCCCAGTAACGTCTCCATCGTGAAATTTGCTGGTACTGTGTTTGGCATATCAAGTACATCATGGGTAGCTTGCCAAGCTCTGCCGCGCGGGCGAGATACTCTCGGTAGCTTGCCGGGCTCTCCGAGAGGGGCGGAGGAATCGAACTTGAGTTGGTCATGTTGGCTGCGTGCAAGGCAGACGCCCTACCCGCTGTGCTATCGCTTCAGCCCGTTTTTGTTATTATTGTTGTTGTTATTTTATTTTTTGGCTCATACCCAGTGATGCACAGGGGTTCCTCCTGGCTCTGCACTCAGGAATGACTCCTGGTGGTGCTCGGGGGACCCTATGGGATGCTGGGAATCGAACCCGGGTCGGCCGCGTGCAAGGCAAACGCCCTCCCGCTGTGCTGTCGCTCTAGTCCGCGGATGTATCTTTCAGTCTTGCCCCCTTTGAGTGAGGAGGGACCGGCATCCATCCCGGTCTGGGTTTCAGTTCACGTCCGTCTTCCCGGCGGGAGACACAGAAAGGGCTCTTCCTGTGGGAGTCACCCCCTTGCAGAGTCCTGTCCCGTCCGCTCCGTCTTCTCCATGTCCTGCGTCCCACGGGGAAGCGCTGGGGGTCACCGGCTGCCTGCACCCTCGCCCGTGGCCTTCACTGTCCTGCCTTTGTGCCTCGCTCCTTCCTGTCGGGGGTCGCGCTCTCATGCCGACCGGCGAGGACAAGAGTTGCTCTCTGTGGACCCGGCAGCCCACCTGAGCTCCCCGCCTGCCTGGCCCCCGCCCGGCCCCCCACTGCTAGGCTCCCCCCTTCTGACCCCCTGCTTTCCCTCCCGCCTTTGAGGGACCCGCCCAGGGCCCCCCTGCCCCCCAGGCTGAGCCTCAAGGGCGCTTCTGCCTCCTGCAGCTGCCCCCGGCCCTCGGTGCTCTCTGCCCATGTTCCCATGGTTTGCCGCGCGCAGGGACACAGGTAGTCGTCACGGGCTCTGTCTTCCCCGCCCTCCCCAGCTGCACGGGTACATGGAGAACAAGCCACTGGGCCTGCAGATCTTCATCGGGACGGCGGACGAGCGCATCCTGAAGCCGCATGCCTTCTACCAGGTGCACCGCATCACTGGCAAGACCGTCACCACCACCAGCTACGAGAAGATCGTGGGCAACACCAAGGTCCTGGAGATCCCCCTGGAGCCCAGGAACAACATGAGGGCGACGTAAGCCCGGGCAGGCGGGCGGGCGGGGCGGGGGTCTCACGGGGGCGGGGGTGGAGTCTCACGGGGCTGGGGCAGGTGGGGACAGGGGTCTCATGGGGGTAGGGGCGGGGGTCTCATGGGGCGGGGATGAGGGTCTCACAGGGCCGGGGATGGGGGTCTCCACTGGGCGGGAACGGGGGAGTCTTCAAGGAGTCAGGGCTTGGGGGCACCGGACAGGCCCGGGACCCTGTGAAGCTGGTGCTGGCTGACCCCTGATCCAGGATGGGCGCACACATGTGTGTTTTGGCTGTTCTCTGCCTGAATAGTCCGAGAGTGTTGGGAGAAGCCTCAGGTGTTGGGACAAACCTCCCACTCAACCCCTCCCCTCCCCCATCCCCCTCCCTCTCTCCCTCTCTGCTCTCTCTCTCTCTCTCTCTCCCCCTTTTTTCTCTTTCTCTCCCTCTCTCCATCTCTTTCTCCCTCTCTCCTCCCACTCTCTCTCCCCCTCTACCTCCTTCTCTTTCTCCATCTCTCTCTCTCCCTCCCCTCCACCCTCTCCACACCCAGCAGTGCTCAAGATCACTCCTGGCTCTACCCTCAGGGGTCCCTCCTGGGAGGGGATAAGGGGACCTTATGGGGTGCAGGTGATTGTCCCCCCAACCAGCCCCAGGCCAGGCCAACTCTCTCCGGCCCCGAGGTTAGATCTTTTCACACTTGGACTTTTGTCTTTGCCCCAAGGAAACCCACAGAGCGGCCAGCCACACGGGTTTGGGGAACATTCACACCCCGGGGTTGGAGGTGAACCTTCACCTTGGAGGAGAACCTCAGGGCGGCAGAGAAACTGCCAGAACCGTCCAGAGAGCTCGGGCGACTGCCTGCTCGGCCTGGCGCGTGGCTGACCCGCGTCACCTTTGCGCGGGCGCCTTTGGCCTCTGCCCGTCTTTCCCGAACGGGCTCAGCTCAGCCGCAGCCGCAGATCTTCCTTCCCCCCCCCCGATTCCCCCAGAGACAGAGCGGCCTCGGCCCCCCAGAGCGCGGAGACGGTCCACCATCGGGAGGTCCACCTCCCGAGCGGACGCTTCCCAGCCAGCTTCAGTTTCCCAGACCCATTTGGTGGTGGGGGGGCGGGTTCTGCTGGGGAACCCCCCACCCCAAGCCCGTTTGCCGCGGTCCTGCGTTCTGCCTGTGATCTCGACTGGGGCATCGCGAACTCTCCCCAGGGGGCGGCCTTGGTGGGGGGCCCGTGGCTGTCAGCCGGGCCTCGCTAACGGGGGTCCCCGTGCCCCTCCCTCAGCATCGACTGCGCGGGCATCCTGAAGCTGAGGAACGCCGACATCGAGCTGCGCAAGGGCGAGACGGACATCGGCAGGAAGAACACGCGGGTGCGGCTGGTCTTCCGGGTGCACATCCCCGAGGCCGGCGGGAGGGTCGTGTCCCTGCAGGCCGCGTCCAACCCCATCGAGTGCTGTGAGTCGGGCTCAGCGGCGGGGCGGGGGTGGGGGTGGGGGGCGCTCTGGGGACACCGAGTCCGGGCCCTGTGGCCAGGCCTGGGTGCCGCAGGGTGTGGGGGTGGTCTGTGGCTTCCATTTCCTGAGGGCGCTTTCAGACCAGCTAAGCAGTGAGATGCCCATGGCACTATCCGGGCCCTCCGGGGGGGCTGATGCTTGACTGGGGGGTGGCTCCCCATGGGGTCGGCTCAGGGTCCTGCCTCCGGGGAAGCGTGCTGGGTGGACGCAAGCCCAGGGTGCGGTCGGGGGCCTCCCCGGGCGCCGGGCCGTGAGGGGAAGAGTCGGGGCTCAGCTCTGGGGGCTCAACCAGCCTCTCCCTGCCAGTCTGGTGTTGGGGTGCTGGGGGGTGGCCGTGCTCTGCCTCGCGGGTGTAGGGGGCCGAGAGGAGAGTACATAGCTGCTGTCGGGGGCACTAGGACCTCGTGCCTGGTCTCAGCTCGCAGCACCTTCTTGGTACTTTTCTCAGATTTCGCTCTTGGGGTTTGTCATGAGATGCCAAAAGCCCGTGAGTCAGCTCATGTCTGAGGATTGTCAAGAAGAGAACGAGCAAATGAGCACGTTTCCCGGGCAGAGCTGTCTTGGCGGGGGTCTTGGGCTTATTTTCATGTTCTTAGAATTATGCTCTGTCTCCACTTTTTTGGGGGGGGGTCACACCCAGCGATGCACAGGGGTTCCTCCTGGCTCTGGACTCAGGAATTACTCCCGGTGGTGCTCAGGAGACCCTATGGGATGCTGGGAATCGAACCTGGGTTGACTACGTGCAAGGCAAATGCCCTACCTGCTGTGCTATGGACTGGAGCGATAGCACAGCGGGTAGGGCGTTCGCCTTACAAGCGGCCAACATGGCCGACCCGAGTTCGATTCCTCCGCCCCTCTCGGAGAGCCCGGCAAGCTACCGAGAGTATTCGCTATGCCAGACACAGTAACAACGAAGTCTCCAGTGGAGACGTTACTGGGCCCGCTCGAGCGAATCGACGATCAACGGGAGGGCTGTGCTCCAGCCCCTCTGTCTCCACTTTCGCACTGGGATATACATAATATTTTTTTTTCTGGCTTCCTCACCAGGCCCTCTCCCTTGCTAGACGGTAGAGAATTCTCGGCCTGCAGAGGCTGGGCATGGTGTGAGTGGAGGGCTGGGTGGGTGGGCGCTGTTGCGTTTCCACAGGGGGATGGAGACCCAGTGTGGCCGGGTCTTATGATGCGTTACAGGTAGGCCCAGATATGCCTGAAATAAGGTCACAAAGGCACAGGAAACCTCCAGATTTGGCGAGACCGGCAGGTGGCCAGACTGGCCCAAGGTCGCCTTCCCGAGGGAAGAGCCGAGGCATGGATGCAGGAAGGGCTCCAGGCCCGCTTGAGGGTGCGATGCAGAAACCAGCTGTGGCCTCGCGTGGTCTGTGGGCACGTGAGCGTCAGACACGGGCAGGCTGGACAGCGAGTTTGCAGTCGGCTGACGGGGCCCCCGGGCAGGGCCCAGCACAGGGCACAGAAGCGGAGAGAGTCTCGCTGGCCGCACCCTGGAACCCCCCACCCAGCGGTGACACCCCCACCCACCCACCCCGGCCGCCACTCCCCGCCCTGGGGTTGGAACCATTTTGGGAAGGAAAATCAGGGTGCTTCCTCCTGGTGGGGCCCCTGAGAAGGTCAGGGTTCCCCCTCTCTAGCCCAGGTTCACTCTTCCTCAGGGGGCTGTGGTTTGCACACGGAAGGGGAACTGGGGCTGAAGTGATAGCACAGCGGGGAGGGCGTTTGCCTTGCACACAGCCAACACGGGTTCGATTCCTGGCATCCAATAGGGTCCCCCGAGCACCGCCAGGAGTGGTTTCTGAGTGCAGAGCCAGGAGGAACCTCTGTGCATTGCTGGGTGTGACCCACAAAGAAAAAAAAAAACAAAATGGGAGGGGAACTGTGGGGCAGGGGCTGTGGACAGGAGCCCCTGCTCTGGTCCTTTCTGGTCGCCCATAGCAGCTCCCCACCGGCCACATCAAGGGGTGTCCCTGAGCTGCAGGCAGCTGCAGACCCCGAGGGGTGTGGGTATGTGAGCTTTCCCCTTCCCAAAGAAAAAAATCGCTCCAGGGAGGGGTGCGTTTGGGCTGATTCCGCTATGAGGGTGGGCAGCTAGGGAGAGCGGCTTCCTGGGGAAAGCGGGGCCTCTGGGTCCCACCTCCTCTGGTTCTAGAATGTTCTAGAACATGCCACTCTGGTTCTAGAATGTTCTAGAACATTCCCCGTCCTGCGCCGCCGCACCCAGCTCCAGAGGGCTGAAGCGGCCACGCGGACACTCAGCCCGTCCCTGGGCCTTTCTGTTCTGTTCTTTCTAGGCCACCGCCCGGCAGGCCCATAAATATTTATTAACCCCATGAGCTGGCGTGTCATCCGCAGGGAGCTTGTCAATAAATATTAATTGACCGTCAGCCCTCCGCGGGAATTGACACGGGGTATTTGTTGCCTAGCGGGGACTCTGGGAAGGCGAGTTAGGGAGGAAGGGACGCTCAGAGGCGGAGCTGGCTGTCCGCTTTGGAGGTGCCTTTTGTGGGGGGTTTCAGGAACCAGGGGGACGAGCTCGGTTTCGTGGAAGGCCCGGGCCTGACACCGCCGTCCGTCTTCCTTCCCGGGGAAGCTCTGGGCAGGGTGTGTGGGTGGGTCGGGCCTGGCTTGCCCCAGTCCCAGTGCAGCCCTGCCTGGGGCCCCCGGGTTCCTGGTGAGGACCCTTCGCTTTGGGGGGCGCACCCCTGCCTGTGCTCAGGGCTTGCACAGGAGACCTACGCGGTGCTGACAGTTAAACCCAGGTCAGCTGCATGCCAGGCAAGCGCCTTCACCTGCATTTTCTCCCTGACACCCTCGAGAACTTTCTGCACCTGTTGTCACTGCCATGGGGTCTCGCTCTGCAGAGAAAGGGGCCTCCCCTTGCTGGGGGCTTGGGGACGAGGCTGGGCGGGTCGGGGGGGGATGCCATGGTCTCCCCCAGGGGCTGGTGGGCCCAAAGATCACCGCAGCAGGCGGCCTCCCAGACAGGGACTCTCTCTGGGGCCAGCCCATGGTGTGAGTGTCCCGGGCTGGTGGCAGTGGGGGGGGACCAGCGCCCCAACCAGGGTGCCGGCAGGGTGGGCTCCTTGGGGAAGCTGGGGGGAGGAGCAGCCACCGGCCCCTCTGCTGGGTCCTGCTGGCATCTCCACCGCAGCGAGCTCAGGGGGCTAGGGGACGGGCAGCGGGGGCGCGGCACCTCCCAGGCTGTCGGACCCGGCCTCCGAGGAAGGCTTGGGAGTAGCCGTGCTGGGCTCAGGTCAGACCGCAGCAGACAGAACTCTCTAGAATAGTGTCTCTGCCCGGGAGGGGTCTGGTCCTGCGGTGGAGCCGCGGCTAAGAGCGATGCCTTCCAGCTGCTGTTGCTGGTGGCTGGGCAGGGGATGAAGGAAACCGAGGCCCCCCGCGGTGATCATTAACCGCAGCCCAGTGCTGGGGGAGCAGAGGCGGCACGGGGTGGGGGTGGGGCGTCTGCCGGCATCTGGGGCATCTTGAGACCCCGGTTGGCGGCTGGCGGGCACCGCAGGTACCCTGCAGGGCGGGAGCGAGAGGGGCGGGTGTCTGGGCTGGGGGCACTGGCCCCTCCCCATCCCCTCGCTCAGCTGTGGGCTTGGGGGCCCGGGCCCGCCTTCTGCTGAGTTCTACTGAGCTCCCTGTCCAGGTTGCAGAGACAAGAGCCTCAGTGCCAGACGCTGGCTGAGCCCCCGGGTCTTTCTCCTTCCGGTCTCCCTGGCAAAGAATTTTCCTTCGGGTGCGGGGAAGGGGTGGTGGGCCCGGCAGGCTGGCCAACGCGGGAGCAGGAGCCGTCCCAAGGGAGCAGGAAATGGACGCGTTGCGTTTGCTGCCCAGGCTGTGATTCACAGAGCTGCCCTGGCCAGCGCCGAGCCCAGGGCCACGGCCAGGCCCGGCCCTGCTGGCTGGGAGCCGGTGGCCAGCTGGCCTGGGGGTGGTGACTCAGGATGAGGAGGGAGGGTCCTGGCCACCTCCTCAGCCGCCCCTGGGGCCCAGCTCCCCCAGCCCCCCGCCCCAGCTCATCACAGGCGGCTCTGAAAGGCGGGGCCTGCTCGGCCAGGCCCGAGGCCACTGTGTGCGTTGCTGCCAGCCGGGTACTGAAAGTGAGGGACCAGCCTGGCCCCTGTGGAGGCAGCAGTGGCTCCAGATGTCGGCAGGGGGCCCGGAGGCCGAGGGCTCCACTCCGAGGGGATGTGGCTAGGGCCTGGCCAGGCCGCTGGCCCATAGAACCCTCCAGGGTGGCGAGTGTGTCACTAATCCTGAGGGTGCAGTGAGGCTTCCGGTCACCCGAGGGGATGCTTGGCCCTCTGGAGGCCCAGGCTGGCCGGGAGGGAAGGGTTCGCTGCGGCCCCGGCTCTGGGCTGGTGCAGGGAGCCCGGCGGGCCCAGTTCAGGGCCGGGGGAGGGTGATGGGGAGGATGTGGGGGGAGGATGTCGGGGGGAGGGTGTTGGGGGAAGGCGGTCTGGCTCATGGATAGGGCCGGCAGACCTCTCAGGTCCTCTCTGCCTCTCCAGGGAAGCCCGCTGGACAGGGTGTCCATGCTGGCCTGTGGCTGGGCAGCTGTCCATGCTGTGGCTGCCTTCCTGAGGAGCCCATGCCGAGAGTGGCTCATGCGTGCTGGCTTCTCACATCTAAGCCCCAGCGCCCACCCCGACCCGATTTCCCTGACTGGTCTTCTCTCTCATCAGCTGTGCACGTTCTTGACACTCGTCTCCTCCCAAGGCTGTGAGCTTCCAGCCCGGCCATGTGGGGAGGCACAAAGGGTTTTGTCCCGTTCTTCCAGCTTTCATCATAGATGAGGATGTGTGTCTAAAGATACCGATATCTACACATGTACAGTCGCATCTCACCCACCCACCCACCCAGATACCCACCCCATCTCATCCACCCTCTCCTTCCATCCATCCACCTACCCACCTACCTATTCATCCATTCATCCCTCCATCCACCCTTCCTTCCATCCATCCATACACCCACCCACCCATCCTTCTCTCCATCCATCCATTCATCTCTCCATCTCTCAATCCACCCTTCTATCCATCCTCTCATTCATCCATTTATCCTTCCATCCATCTATCCATCCTTCCTCTATCCCCATCTATCGATCTACTCATCCATCCATCCATCTACCAACCCCATCTATTGTCTATCCTCTCCTTCTACCTATCTTTCCATCAACACACCCTCCCATCCACCCATCCATCTACCCATTCCATTTATCTTTCTTCCTTCCTTCCTCCCTCCCTCCCTCCCTCCCTCCCTCCTTCCCTCCCTCCCTCCCTCCTTCCCTCCCTTCAATCCATCCATCCATCCATCCATCCATCCCTTCATGCATCCATCTGAAGAACCAAGTCCTCAGCACCCCCTTCAGTCCGCTTCCCCCAAGCAGCAGTCCGGACCCTGGCCCTGGCCCTGGGGTCACAGTGTCCGCAGAGCAGAGCCCTCCCCTGGGCTTCCATGCGCGTGGCGAGAGATGTGCCAGGCAGACGAGCCAGCGCGGCGTGTGTCCGCACAGGCGAGGAAAGACAAAGCAGAGCACTTTGGACGGAGGAAGCGGGGAGAGGCAGAGGCGACCGAGGGGGAAGGCAGCTGTTTTAGCTCCGAGCAGGAGGGGCAGGAAGGGGGTGTCCCCTCCTTGCTGATGTGGGACCCGCTGCGTGGCAGAAATGTGAGGGGACTTAGGGAGACCATGAGGGCAGGTGTCTGGGGGCAGAGGCCCGGGACGGGGAGGGGACACAGCCAGGGCGACGGGGCCTTGGACCTGGGGTCAATTCCAAGGCCAACCCCGCCACCTCGCGCCAGTCCGTTCCAGAGGTTAACGTGGGTGCAGCCCTCGGGGAGAAGGTTCTAGAACCTTCTGCCATAGGAAATCTCACGGGGAAAGTGACTTTTGTGAGACACAGTGTCCACTTCTCATCTGTCCCTGAGTCAGGAAGCCAAGCGTTGTTGGCAGGAAGTGAGCCACAAGCAGATGGGGGGGTAGCGGGGGAGGTCCGGGCCTGATGGGGCCGCAGGTGGGCCTCTCGCCTCATACCCCCTCTCCCCTCTCGCCCTCAGCCCAGAGATCGGCCCACGAGCTGCCCATGGTGGAGAGGCAGGACATGGACGGCTGCCTGGTGTACGGGGGTCAGCAGATGATCCTGACGGGGCAGAACTTCACGGCCGAGTCCAAAGTCGTGTTCACGGAGAAGACCACAGGTGAGGGCGGGGCCGGGCCTGGGCCTTTGGGCAGCGAGGCTGGGGTGGGGGGGTGGGGGGCCCCCCTGCTCTGCCCCGGCCCCCTGGCCCCCTGCCCTGGCTTGGGGCACCTCCGAGTATAACTGTACCGGGCGCCCATCCCGCTGACTGTCAAGTTCCTTTCTTCAATTTATTTATTTATTTTTTGCTTTTTGGGTCACTCCCGGTGACGCTCAGGCCTAACTCCTGGCTCTGCACTCAGGAATTACTCCTGGCGGTGCTCGGGGGACCCTATGGGATGCTGGGAATCGAACCCGTGTCGGCCGCGTGCAAGGCAAATGCCCTCCCTGCTGTGCTATTGCTCCAGCCCCAACTATTTTTTATTTTTTTTAAGAGACCACTTGGCCTCTTCTCTGTGGCCCTTCTCAGGACAGGAATTGGGTCACAGACAGGCCTGTCCCTGGCGTCCTGGGCCCAGACTGTGCCGAGGGCCAGCCTGGCGCTGCACCTCCTTCCCGAGAGCCGCTGCCGGATTCTGGCCCACACGCCCCTTGCTGGGTTCCTGCGGTCGCACCCTCTGACCGGGAGTGTCAGGTCCAGACACATGGGCTTCTTGGGTTCGGTTTGGTTCTGGAGATTTTGGGCCACACCGGCAGTTCTCAGGGCCTGCTCCTGGCTCCTGCTTCAGGGATCACTCCTGGCAGTGCTTGGGGATGACTCCTAGCGGTGCTCGGGGATCACTCCCGTGGACTCAGGGATCACTCCACACAGTGTTCGGGGATCACTCCTGGCGGTGCTCAGTGATCACTCCCACGGGCTCAAGGATCACTCCCGGTGGGCTTGGGGGTCACTCCACACAGTGTTCAGGGATGACTCCTGGAAGTGCTCAGGGATCACTCCTGGCAGGCTCGGGGATCACTCCCGGCGGACTTGGGGATCACTCCTGTGGGCTCGAGGATCACTCCCGTGGGCTCGGGGACCCGCTGAGCACACGCCTCCCCCTGGGCTCCCTCAGCATCCCTGCTGCTCTTGCTTCCATTGTACACGGTGCCATCTTCAATCTTGTGCTTTTACAGTCGTTGGTCCAACCTGGGGGCTCCCCAGACAGTGCTCAGGAGGCCCAGGGGCCCGTCAGGAATTCTCAGCAGCTCGGCCAGCACTTGAGTAGGAGCCTGGGGTTTCCCGGGCCACCCCTGCCTGGGCTTGGGTTAATCCTGGAGCCGCATGTGTTTGGCGTGTGCCCCGTGCCCCTGTCCTACCCCCAGACCCCACCTGACCTTCTCAGGCGACCGCGGGGTCCTCTGTGTCCTCTGTGTCCCTCTGTCTCGGGTGAGGGTTTATTTCCAGCGTTGGAAGCGTGAGTTTAGGTGCTGGGCGAAGTGGCCCTCCAGGAACCTGCAAACTGGAGCTGCCCCGGGGGTCCATCTCTGTGGGTGGGGCGCAGAGAGGACGCAGTGGGCAGCCTTGTCCGGGCCCCTCCTGGGCGCTGCCCTGCACACGGGTCTTCCTGGGCAGCTGGGAGAGGCGGAGAGGCGAGTCCCCCTGTCCACCGCCTCCTCGGGGCAGGAGGTCAAGGGGCCCCATGACACCCAAGGGGGCGGGCGGCTCTGACGGGCCTGGGGGTTGTAGTGAGCCCAGGGCTGGGCCGCGACTGCAGGCTGGCAGTGGCAGGGCTGGGGGTGCCGAGAAGGCACAAGGTCCACCCCTGGTGGCCACAGTCAGGGGACTCAGCTGCTCCAGGCCTCTATGCCGTCTCCCCTCTGACCACTCTTTTTTTATTTGTTGCTTTTTGGGTCCCACCCGGCGATGCTCAGGGGTTCCTCCTAGCTCTGCACTGAGGAATCACTCCTGGCGGTGCTCGGGAGACCCTATGGGATGCTGGGAATCGAACCTGGGTTGGCCACGTGCAAGGCAAGTGCCCACCCAGCTGTACTATCACCTCGGCCCTGATCAGTCTTGATTCATCACTGGTGTCAGGGACTGTCCACCCGGAGACGCTGAGTCTTGAGAAAAGTGAGCCTCTGACATGCAGTGTGTGTGTGTGTGTGTGTGTGTGTGTGTTTGGGGGGTGTGGATAATCTCATTAATTGGGCAGCTTCCAGAGCCCGTGTGTGTGTGTGTGTGTGTGTGTGTGTGTGTGTGTTTGGGTGTTAGATAATCTCATTAACTGCCCCTGGGGGTAGCTTCCAGAGCCTGTGTGTGTGTGTGTGTGTGTGTGTGTGTGTGTGTGTGTGTGTTTGGGGGGGGGGTGGATAATCTCATTAACTGGCCCCCAGGGGCAGCTTCCAGAGCCAGATCCTTGCCCGTGGGTAATGCCCAGCATTGTCTGCCTGTGCAGCCCCCCTCAGCCTCAGTTTCCCCCATGAAGGGAGAGGCTAGCAGGCCTTCCCCGGGGGGACCCTGTGTGCTGTGAGCGGCAGACTCAGAGGGCGAAGAGCATCGAATCCACACGTCAGTGGCCCCAGGTCCCCAGGCCGGACCCCACTCAGGCCACAGAGGGCCTTGCGCTGCCCCGGGGTGGGCCTGGCGTGGGGGCTGAAGGGGTCCTGGCTGCGTGCACTGGGGTCGAGGCAGCCACTCGCCTCCCCGACGGTCACGAGGGTCGCGGGGCTGGGCCGCGGGGCTGGCGCTGGCTGGCGCTGGCTGGCGCTGGCTGGCGCGGAGCTGGGCGGTGCTGGGCGCGTGATGTGCTGGGTGCTATTCTCGCTCTGATTCTTCTCAGGCCCGGGAGGATGGAGATGGGTAAGATGTTATCTCGTGGAACCAGGGAACGCGGCAAAACACTACAATGCGGCAGGCCCCGCCAGGCCTGGTTCCACTTCCCTGACGTGCTGGGGCTTGCCCGGCCAGAGAGGGAGAGCCGGGGCGGGGAGGGTCCCGCCCGCTCTGACGCCGCCCTGTCTGCGGCCCCCCTACTCAGCCACTCACAGGCCCAGAGCTGGAGCCCCCCCCAGCCCCGCCCCCGCCCGCCACCCCAGACCACCGACTCCATCCGTTTTGTGGGTGCTTTGACCTCTGGATTCTGCGGGAGAGCCCCGGGGTGCGAAGAATCCTTCTAGAAAGCTCTTTCTGGTCTGCAGCAGCCCGAGTGAGGGCCGCTCCTGGGCTGAGGTTAGCAGGCACACGGCGGGGCCCGACCCCCTCCCCTGAGAAGCGGGGGCCCCTTCCCGGGGCGCTGCTTGGCTCCCTGCGGCCCGGGCCCTGGCCCTGGCGGGGAGCTGGCCCTGCTCCCTGTGTGTGCGGGGAATCCCGGGGCTCCCCCTGGCCTTTCCCCCCAACACGTCCCCTTCCGGTCCCCACGGGCCTCCCGGCTGGCCGGCGCGCGGCGGGGAGGGGCGGGGGCTGTGGTTTTTCCGAGGAGAGAGAACCCAGCTGGATCTCACATTAAGGCAAGGTGACAGCCGCCCGGGCTAATCTTAGCCGCACGTTGGGTCATCGGCGGCGGCAGCTCCAAAGTGCTTTTTATAGCCGTCGACTGGGATCGGGCTGGCGGTTTCCACTCCAGCGGGAGGACAAATTGGAGATTGGTGGAAAAACAGTAGGAGAGCGATTGCGTGGAGTTTCTTAAGTTAGAAAAGCGCCGTGTTTTGGAAAAACAGCCCCTTATTTATAGCAGCAGTAATAATAATGACTATCATATTATTTTCATTTCTATTTTAAAGGCCGGCCAGGCCTTCCAAGTGCCGGTGACCTGACCCCTCTGCGGAGAGTCCAGCTTCTCGGGCTCGGCCTGGCTGGCTCGCGGGAGCCGCGTCTTTATTCTGTCCCCAAACACCCTCCGTCCCGGGGCCCCGGCTGCTCCTCGGCCCTCTCAGGATACTCTCTGCTGCTTCCTTTTTAAATTTTGGCTTTATTATGATTATTATTAAATTTTTTTTGCTTTTTTTGGGGGGTCACACCCGGCAATACTCAGGGGTTCCTCCTGGCTCTGCACTCAGGAATCACTCCTGGTGGTGCTCGGGGGACCCAGGTCGAACCCAGGTTGGCCGAGTGCAAGGCAAACGCCTTCCCCACTGAGTTATCACTCCAGCCTCCCTTTTCTTAATCTGGGTGGGGGGTGATGGGGTGGTCCCTCCCCAGCCCTGCTCAGCCAACCAGGGCAGACAGCGTGTGGCCCTGCTGGGCTGGGGGTTCTGCCCGGCCGTCCCCGGTGCCCTGGGATGCTGGGGAGAGAATCGGCTCCTCTGCGGCCGGCCCCGCCCTGTCCTGTCATTTCTTTGCCAGGCCCCACCCTGTGTCCCCCCAGGTCCCTCTCAGATGCCCCAGCAGCTCCGTCATCCCCTCCTGTCCCCCTGTCTTGACTTCCCGGGTAGCACTTGACATTATGGCCACAATTGGTCGAATCTCCTCTCTTAGGATCTGGTCCCCCAGGCTGGCCCCGAGGTGTTTGTGGTTGGCACGGCGACAGGGACGGGGCTGAGGGGGCCACTGCGGTGTAGGCCTCGGCAGTCCTGGGGCCTCTCGCCTGCACGCAGGGAGCGTCACCCCCCTGGACGCCGTGGGAACCCAGGCACCCTGAGGTCAGCAGGCCACAGCCGGGGCAGGTGATTCCGGGCTCCCCGCTCAGGTCCCCTCCAAAGGGGACCCGCCTGACCCCTCTCTGCCCCCTACCCCCCAGCCCCTTCTGTGTGCGCGGGGAACCCCGTGCCCTGTGACCCTCCGGGGCTCCGTTCAAGTTCACGGCCGGGCAGGGCAGGCGCTCCCTGACCTCAGCCGCTCACCCTGGCCCCTCGCCACGCGGGCCTCGGGCGGAGTCGGGGGGTCCCCCGCAAAACATTGCAAAACAGGAAAAAATCTAAGGACACCAAAATAAAAGCGAGGTGGCCTCGGGAGCGCGGTTGCTGGGGCGACGGGGCCGTGGGGGGCGGGCCGGTGTTGTGGAAGGTGGCGGGTGACACAGGCCTCTGGAATGTTTCAGCTGGTAAATCTGTCTGCAGTGGGCCCGCCCCGGCCACGGCGCGGCCTGGCTCTCGGGCCCGCGGGGGCGTCGCTGGACGGCTGCCCGCCTGCCATTACTCAGC